CTTGGGTCAGTTCAGCCAGCACATGGAGTTTTAGAATAATATCCAGATAACTGAGGTGCCAAAGATGTTACTTTTGCATCCAATATTATGAATCAGACATAAATAAAGAGCATGTAAGAGAGACCTTGGCATTCAAATCCTTGTGGACCACAAGCCTGTGAATAAATTGGAAAGAATCACTGACAATTCCCATAGTACAATATGTAATCTGCATATTGGAGTTCTCTGAACTTTCTTGTTTATATTCTTGTAAGTGTCTTTAGGAGCGATGCTGTTTTCTGGGATTCTAAACATACCTACTGTTAGAACACAGGTGCAAATCCAGTGAAGACTGGAAGTGACTGAGAGTCATTACCAGGTGGTGCCTCTCCGGTAATTTGTGCCTGAAATCCATTGCAGTAGAGATCCTAGAAGATGGACGTCCACCTCACATTTGTTACCACTCATTATCCTTGCTGCCAGTCCCTGCGAAGATGACAGAATGAGCGTATGCCTCAATAACTTCCCCAGAGATGTAGGCAGCTTCCTTGCACCACCACTAAAGCGTGGAGTTGCACGCTGTTCCTTTTCCTTTGCTACTTTTAAGGAAAATTGAGGAGTTTTCTTGAATCGGTAGTCTGGCATCTATACAAGGCCGTCCATTAATTTAGAATTGCAGTTTCCATTCAAACACACCTTCTTTGTTCTTGTTTTAAAATTAATGGGAGTAGTTGACATATTTTAGGGAAGTTTTAGCTTCCATATTTGAGGTTTTTTTAAAAGCAGTCCTGCAAAGTTTTTGTAATACATTGCAGATGAAAAGGATAATTTAAAATATTACAAAAAATTGCAATGAGCCTTCCTCAGATCCACAGAGGAAGAAGAATTGTAGAAGCTGCTGGAAGATTGTGGCTGCAGGAAGAAATAAGGTGGCACAGATTGGCTCCTGTGGCTCTGAGAATAGCTGTTCAGGGACAGACCGTGGGTCCAAATTCTACTTCTGGCCTTTGGCCAGCAGCGAATGCCTAGGAAGAATATAAGAAAAGGGCAAGAATACTGTGGTGCTTCCCCACTGTGTCTTCCCACCCCTGTAATTAGCTTGTGCCAAGAGTGGTCGCTTTTACTTATTAGGCCTAACTGGATTTTTCTTCCTTGAGATTGACTAATCTTTTCTTGAACCCATGTGAACTTTGGACACCAGCAATGCTGTGTAGCATTAAGCTCTGCCATTCAGCTAAATATTAGGTGAAGAATTATTGCTTTTTTTTTTCCCCTCAAATTTTTCGTTTATGAATTTCATATAATGGTCCCTGTATGTTTCTTTAGAGGAGACAGTGAACTTCATCTCCAGTTCAACTTGAATGGTTTACACATGATTTTGGAGATCTTTATCATATTCACTGAGCTAACAGGAGTGCACTAAAGGGCTGTTGCCATGGCTGAAATCTTTTATCAAATGGAGCTCAAGAAAACTATTTAAAAACCTGTCAGAGTCATATTTAGAGGTGCTTTTGGAGGTGTGTTTCTGTGCGGTTGATGGAGCTAATCTGGTTCATTTCCATTGTCAGAAAAAAAAGCATGTTAAATGGCTTTGATTTTAACACTTTGATACACCTGGGCAATGTTCCTCTATTACACTTATTGGGATTTTGTCATGATATCCTTAGGTGGTGTAATTCAGAGAATGATACCAGATGAGCATCTGTCCCTTTGTGCATAGCAAAGGGAACTAGTGGACAATGAATGCAGATGTTTTAGGGAGAAATACTAAACCAAAATTATGTTTGCTATTTCTAGATAGGAAGCCTGCACACTCTCTCTCATCCGTCAGTACTCAGTATAGCAGTGAAGATGACTCTCATGGTGAAATGATGAAAGATGATGTCAAGGGCAAAGAGGAGTATAATATCCAAAGGGCATCTGATAACACAGCACATGCACAATATGGAAACGAGAATGGGGAGAATAAACTGCTCAGAATGAAGGAAAATCCGGAAGCTTTTGCACTGGAAAAGGAAGGAATAGATGAAGCAGAAAAGGCAAAACGAGAAGATCTAACAGCAAGGGAAGATACTGGAGTTTTTCATGAAAATACAATGGCAATACAGTATCAAAGTCCTGCAGTTAATGGGGACCTCAAACAGGCTGGGTCAGTAGAAAGTAACATAGGGGAAGATGGGGAGAAGAATGCAAGTACCAGGAGGGATGATGGGGAGGAAAGTCTTCTAGTGCCTTTGAAAAGCAGTATGACAGAAGCGGAGGATAGCAATGAAGAGTCTCCTCAGGATGATGAAGAAGGTGGTGAGTACAATCCCTCTGCACAACTGTGAGTGAGTAGTGCATGTGAGTGTTGCTGTATTTGCCTTTATACTATGTCATGGTGCAGCATGGAGAATGCAGTTGGTGGACTGTTTTCAAGCTACTAGTATAGTCTGTACTCCTGTGAGATAAATAACCACCCAGAATGTAACCTTGGTTTATTGTTTCTTTTCTAGTGTTTCCAGTGTAAGGCTTTGGCTATTCTTTTTTACTCCAGTAGTTGGGTTTCACATATCATGCAATTATTATAAAATCCAAACATGATTTATTACCTATAGGAGAATCCGTATGCCGCACTGGGGGACTCTGTTTTATAGTGTTGACATACTATGTTCAAAAAGAACACCAAAAATTACCATGTGAATCATGGTGCAGCAGATGAAGATCAAAACTATGTCAGTTGATCGATGGTTGTGTTGCTTCACTCTGTCATGGATTTGTTGGCAAGGAGCAAATCAGGTAGTTGTGTGACACCTCATTTTTACTGTTGATAAAATGGGCATCTTGCAGTTTCAATCTTACCTTTATGGATAATGGGCAATTAATAAAAGGTTGGCCACGTGAGCAAGGCTTTGCATTATTGTATCTGGGGAATGGGGACAAATGTAAGCCCTTGCTTTGCAATGTCATCCAGGTCATGAGGGAAATATCTTGGATGCTGTTAAATCAGTCGGTATAAAAGAATAGTTGTCTGCACTGGCGTTGACATAAAGGAGAGCCACAAGCTATGGTAGATGGAATTTCCAATTGTCTTTCTGTATGCTGGATTTGCAGTGGAATGTAGAATGCTTTTCCTTTATTTTAACAGAAGTTTTTGGTTCTGCTTCTGTTGCTTTCTGTTCACTGCAGTGCATCTGTCTAAGATAGCTGTGCATGGAATAAACAATTTGAATGCTGGTGCTTAATGCTTTGCAAATCTGTTGCTGCTGGGTTACTTTGACTGTCTTGTGCATTGCTTTTGCTTTGTTATGCATTCAGAATTGAGATGGTAAAGACAGCAACATACTATTAATTGAATAATGCTCAAGTCTTCAAAGATGTTTGCTTCTGGAACCCCTCTCTTCACTTGTGTGAAAGAAACTTCAATTTAAGCACCTTCACCACTAGGCTTAGATGAGTTGAGTAAGGACTACTGAAGAAGAAAGAACTTTAAAAACCTAGAGGACAGAATATTACGCTGTAATACAAAACCAAGAAAAGATCAATCGAATGTGTCAAGCTAGTAATCTGATACTGAGTTAGCCTAAAACAATAGCATTGTTCCTTATTAGCATAAATTCCTGTGTGCTTACATTCAGCACATATGGTTTCATGGCTCTAGGCTTGAACAGAGATCCTCTATCAAATATAGGTAGATTGTCCGAATGTTACGGAGCTAACAGCCTTTACTTCTTAGTCAAGTCCTGCATCATCTCTGCTGCCAGGAGATTACCTGAGATTCAGGGACAGTGCAGATCAATGAGGGACACGAAACAACTCACTAAATTGCATACAGATTTCCCCCTGTCTGCATGGGCGTTGTTTAGGTAAATTTTGCAGCAAATAAAGAATTGCCAAGAATCTGTGTGTAGGCAACTTTTTTGAGATATAATGAGCATGCTAAAGAAATATTGTAGGGTAACAAAGGTCACATGGGAATCTTAGCTTCTTCTAGGCATTTAGCACAGTTGCTGCCATGGTAAAGATTCTAATTAAAAAATTCGAGGACATCTATAGCCTTAAATGCCAGATGATTACAACTCCCACTACTCCAGTCCTCCAAAAGGCTGAGGACTAAAAGCCTCCAGAGACACCCAGAGGGCTGGAAGAGCTCAGTCCCTTACTGTGACTGCAGAATTGGTTCTCGGTCCATTCTTGGGCCTCCCTGATTTCTTCACATGAACTTCTCTGTAGGACTGGTCATTCTCATGAGCCGCCCAGCCTGTGTTTAGATGAGACTGACATGGCACCATTTTGGTTTTGCCCCAATGAGACCCATCATGCTCTGCTCGTGACAGGGTTTCTCCTAACCAGTGCTGTCATTAACAGTGCAGAGCTAATTTATCAGAGAGAATTGTATATGCTGAAGAAAGCAAAAGGTGCAAAATGCTCTTGTGGGGTTGTTCAGTCACAGGCTGAGTCTGGGCAAATCACAACCGGTGGCGTGACAGGATCTGTCAGAAGTGTGGAAATACCTGGGATGGGCTCCTGCTGCGTGTTTTCTGATCTTGCTGTATTCTTTGCAGCAAGGAGATATTGCTGATCCCAAGAGAGAGAATTATTGTGAGCAGTATTTGTCATCCTTCCCTGGGCTCTGTGTTTTGATAGACTGTCAATTCCCTTTTGTCAAATGTTACGCAGGCAGTAAACTGCAAAGAATGGGAACTGCCAGCTAGTCAGACTTCAGGCCTATAATCAGGTCAAAGTAAAATACGCACCATACCTAGCAAAGCACTTTGTATTTCAGCAAGTCAAAGAAAGTGCTGCCCGTACCTCTGCGTGAGGCAGCCAAGGGATGTCCTGGAGCAGAAAGCTTCTTGTCTTCTCTGCAGAGCTGAAATGTCAGAATGATTCAAGCAGGTTGTGTGCTATTGCGCGGAGACCTTTGCCAGGATCTTGGGTCCCACAAGGAACCTTACAAATGCTCTCCTGGGACCTTCCCTGCTCAACTTTCATGGTTCCTTGCAGAGCAGATCTTAGTGCTTCACCCAGGTGAAGTGTGACAGCAAGGAGTGAAGCCATCGCTGCCCTTTAGGACCTATGGTATAGGCAAAAAGGCATTCATGCTGAGTAAGTGCCTTTTGTAGTACTGTAGACTGAAATGGTCTTTTAAAAATTTTCTCACATTTCTATTCAGAGCTGTGTGAGTGCAGGGTACTGATGGGATAGGAAGGATGGGTGTAAGCATAAAGTAGGAGAACCACAGGAGGAAGAATAAGAAAAAATAAAAACAAAAGTGAAATAAAGAAGAAAAATACCATATGCAAGGGTGAGTAGAAAGACAGAATCGACAGTGTAGAAAATAAACACCTCCTAGGAAAAAGGTGAGAGAGCACAGGGCGTGCATTTGCAAGAGAGAGGCAGGGATTTGGGAAGAGTGCAAGGTTGTGGCAGAGAAGACAGTGTTAAGTCTTCTCACTGCAAGGCAGCGGGAACAACGCCTCTCCCACTCCTGGACCTTTCAGTGCCCTGACTGACTCTGAAGCAGCAAGCAGATTAAATCCCATACACCCAGCTACATGTATAAAAAAAAAAATCAGTCTCATAAGAATTGTTAGCTATTTTTTGTAATAAATTGCTGGAGGGAACATTCTGCCACTTGCAAGTACACGTGATTTCAATACATGCTGCCCAGGAGTGACAGCGATCCATAGACCTGTACAAACGCTTTGAGGCAAGACAGTATTTCTATGGGTTAAGTGGGCAATTTGGATGAGACCAGTGGCCAGGTCAGTCAGCCTTATTGTGCTTATGTTTATGCAACTGATTTTCTTCTAGCACAGCTCTTAGTAACTTCAGAAGTGCCCAGCAGATCAGCCCAGAGGCACACCTCTCGCAGTAGCCTGCGTCTCCCAATGGCAAGAGAAGATGCTGTTCACGAACACAAAAGGCTCAGTTTTCTGAATTTCACTCATTTTGTAGCTCTCCTGCACTCCAATCTGTTGTATAATAGCTGTTAGAAAAAAATGCCTGCCTAGTCCTTTTGTACTCGTTTATGGATCTGATGTCCATGACTTTGTCTAGTGTGTTTTTGAATCTGCTGATGCTGCCAGCCCCTCAGGCTCCTGTCACAGCAGGTTGACTGCTTCTGTCCTGTCCATTCTTTATGAAGCCCCAAATTTTAGGCACCTTTATTATATGCCGTACTGCAGGGTGGCCCAAAGTCAGCCAGTTCCTTAGTGTGGAAACATTAGCTTTTTACTCATGGCTCCTTATTTTCATTTTCAGAGAAATTGAAGTAAGGTGTTGCTTGAAAGTCAAGATATCAGACCATGTAACACCTCTTTATCTAGGCTGTGAGTCATGATTTAGCTAGAAACATGTTGAGTGGTTTGTTGTGGCAATTGGTTTCAGTCTCTGTATTTTTGTAATAGAAGGCCAAGTCAGGATTCAGATCTTTTTTTCTCGCTGGCCGAAACCCTGTTCCTCTACTCTCAAACAAAATACTTCGTCTAAATAAAATGCCATAGGCTGATTCTGGGAAGATCATTGGTGAAGATATTTAAAGGTGTCTGTGTTCTCACTGAGCCTTGATGTAGAAATTGTCTGTAGATGTCTAGAAACTGAAACTTGGAACAAGTGTCTCTGTAGCACTTCCACTGCACAGATGAAGCTGACCAGTGTACTGCTTCATGTCACATACAGCAGTAAAATCTAGAAATGTGATTGTCTCCTTTATGATCTGAAAGTTACGCTTGACATAAGTATTGAATACAAGCAATTGACAGAGTTACTCCCCTTCAGTCAAAGGCTTGATTGTTCCAAGCTGCAGAGGAACAGTCTGAAACATATGACCGCTGGCACCATCCCAGCAGCAACAGGAATTATTAATCAAGTCTCACACTAACAGTCACAACACAAGCAAAAGCAGACAGCTGTTTCAGAGGCATACCTGGAAGTCTGTGGTTCCTAATGGACACACTATACTGGCAAAAGAGGCCATTGGGCAGTAAAACCAAGTGCGAGATTCGACTTTATGCTGTCAATCCATACCACTGGCAAACTAGCAAGCTCTTTGTGTAAAAGACTAAGGCAATAACTGCAACAGAAAAGGAAAGATATAGAAAACTCATGGAACTTGAAGGGAGAAGCCTGGGTTGCTGGAGGGAAGAGCTTTCAGAGGAGATGCTGAAGGGATTGGGCTGTGTATATAGCTGGAATACTGCTCATAAAGAAGTTGTTTAGTATTACTAGCTTGAAAGCCATTCATGTAATCATCCGGCAAGTCATAGAGCAAAAATGGAACAAATAGCACAATCTTAACAATAATGTCAGATGTATGACTTGACTATGAAGCATCACAATCATTGCATTTACAGAGCAGAAAATACTTCCCCACTTATTTATACATAAGCATAGGTCTTCAGTCACTTATGTTAGTTTGGGGAATTGAGGAATCATCAGAACTGTAGCTGGGAGCTTAACATAGAATTATTTTTTTTTAAGTATTTATAGAACAATAACAATTTTCTGTCTATACAACAATGTTGTTGCTTGTATGTTGACAGCCCCACACCGCCTGACTGCCTGACAAAAGCAGTCTTACTGTTTTGTGAAGATGATGTGGAAGATTGCCACTCTATGGTTCAGTAGATGCTGCTGCATGAATTTTCCCTTAGGTTTTTAATGGTTGTCTCCATTTGGTTTTAATCTACTTCAAAAAAATTATTGCTGGTGAAGATTTACATGGCTCCAATCGGGTCTGCCCTAACATTTCAAATTTTAAACCAAGCTGAGATGGCTGGATGACTTCTACTCCCCTTTTGCTTTGTAATGGTTTCTCTTTCTTGCTTCCTCTTTTGTAACTTTGTGATAGTTTCTGAAGATTGCAAACCAGTCCAGGAGGAAATAGCAAAGGCAATTGGAAATGATCATCATGTGAATTCTGAACCTGAACCTAGTGATTCCTGTGCAGATGAGGAAGAAGAGAACATTACAAGTACAGAGCATGATGCCAATGAAGGTGAGATTGGCTGTCGATCAGGGACATGGATTAAATCTTTTTCATCTGAAGTCTTTTTATAGAAGTGTTTGCCCTTTCCCTTTCCTTTCTAGGCTATCAAACTCCCCATGTGCTCTTTTCTTTCCTAACTTCTATAAAATTGGGTGATGAGTAGCTGGCTTCTGTAGTCATGTATAATTAATGCTTTTTTTGGCAGTTGTAATGGTCCTAGGTAAAGAATCCAGGCCATCCAGGCTGCCCGCCAAGAAAATAGCTGTGGAAAGCAGGAATCTAGTGAATTTCCCTTTGCTTCCAGGTAGTGCGGGGCATTGGGAAATGCATTGTCCAGACAGGCAGGATGGGTCTGGCAGACTAGGAGCGGAGCTGAACTGCAGACTTGATCTCCATGCTGTACCCAGTTTGTCTCCCAAACTCATCTCCCTGTTAGCAGTTGGCATAATTGGCAATGAGGAAATTTCAGTTTGATCTTTGTACCCTCCAATAATGTTTCTGGTCCTTGCAACCCTAGCAGTTTATTGCTGGAGACTTGATGTGCCTGACAGAAGAGGCTTGCATATTATCCAGGGGGTATTAAAGCCAGCTATCCTGCTGCAGCAATGACCCACAGTGAAAGTAACGTTAAGATTCTACTCCACAGTAGCAATGAGTCTGAAAAGAGAAGAAAAAACTGACTTCAGTCTGCACTGTTGCTCTTACATTTCCTTCTTCCATCCTCTAAGAGTCTAACAGCTGGCAGGAACAGGTTATATATATTGTTTTTAAATTGCTAGTTGTGCACTGTCTTATACTTTGGCACATTAATCCAGGGTCTTCTAAGTTTTTTTCTGGTCAGCTGGGAGCCTTTTGATCTTCTTCTATGTAGTCTAAGAACATAGTCTTTTAAGGTTTGTTGTCTTTCATTCAGAAGGTGTATACAGGAGGCTGGAGGTTCCTTCTTGTCTCTGGTGTTCCAGTAATTGTCTTTTTCTCAGTAAGTCTTTCTCAGATGAGATTGCTTCTGCCTTGGTCTTATCAGCTGACCACAAACAACTGTCTGTAACATTTAATTTCGAAGTCCAGTAGTCTTCATGTGTTGGTCTTCACAAGGATCTATGTTTCTGATGCATAGACCAGGGTAGAGAACATATAGTGCCTGGGCCACCCGACTTCTGTGTCAATTGTCCCTCCAAATCAGGGTTGAAACATGTTTGCTTCCCAGGCAGGTGGTCTTTCGAAAGCCTGGAATCTCCTGCTCAGGGACAGATCCTGGAGCACCAAATTCAATGAAGGCATTGCTGTTCAATTCCCAGGGGGCCGGAATCAACCCTGTATTATTCCCCTGGTGTAATTACAGAATCCATGGGAAGCAATTACCCATTTTACATGAACAGCTGAGTATTTTTCTTCCTGTGTGTGCATATTATACATGAGCAATTTACCACCTATTTCTGAATTTTTGAATGTTACTGTCAAGCTTATAGCTGTTTCATACACAGACCTGAGCTCCCTGCTAGGCAGGTGAGGGAAGGAGGGAGAGTAGGCAGGGCAGGCAGAACTCTCAGAGTTGAAAGCAGGTCGTGCATCAACATTTTTGCTTAAATTAGTTATGCCAGATGCCAGAACGGCAGCACTGGAAACATAGTCAGAGCACAGGTGTGTGATGAGAAGCAGCACAGCAAGTTTTCTTCTTGTCACTCTGCTGATGTCCCTTCATTGCTTGGGAGAGATAGCATCTTTAATAATAACCCTGTAAAACAGCCTTAACACTAACACGGTTCTTAATAAAACTAATGTTTTGATTATTTCTTAATAGCACCAGATGGAGCTTTCTTGGCAGAAGGAACAAGAACACTTGACGTGCAGAAGGCAGCAGAACAAGTGGTACAAGAAGGGCAGATGGTAGGGGAGAGGCAAGCACTCGAGAAGGAAGATTTTGTTGCTGAGGGAGGAGATGCTCGTGCCGAAGAGGCAGGAGAAGAAATGGCATGGGCGGGAGATCTGCTGCCCAAGGAAGACGCAGTGGCCACGCCGCAGGCGGAGGATCAGCTTGCAGTGGAGGAATCTGCAGCCGAGGAGAGCGCCATGGCAGAGGATCCCAAAGGAAAGGGGACAGGGAAGGGAACGGAGCCTGGCGCAGAGGTGGCACCCGGGGAGCGGGAAGTTCTGATGGAGGAGACAGAGAGCAAGGCAGCACTGGGGGAGCAGGCGCCTGGGGGAGCAGAGCTGGCAGGGGCACTGCTAGGCAGGGAGGCAGCATCCGAGGGGGAGGAGGTGGCCGGGGAGGTCTCTGAGGGAGGAGAGGCAGCGGAGGAGGCCTCCGGGGCAAAGGAGGCTGCGGGAGCACCAGGGCCTCCAGTGAAGGAGGTGGTGGGCGAGACGGTGTCTGAGGCAGAGGAGGCCGTGGAGGAGGGAGGTTTTGCAGGGGAGGGCGTTGTGGTGGGTGCTGTGTCTGAGGCCGAGGAGGCTGTGGAGGATGCCAGCTTGGCAGAAGAAGGGATTGCTGGGGTAGATGGCCCTGGAGAAGAGTCTGTAGAGGAAGCTGTTGCTGAGGGGGAGGAGGCTGCGGAGAAGCCTGGGGCTCTCCTGGAAACATTAGGGGATGCAAACGTTTGCACAGGAGAAGCAGTGCCTGGAGGAGAAGACTTTGTAAAGCCAAATGAGTTTTCCCAGCTGAAAGCATCAGGGGGAGAGTGGATGGAGATGGGGGAAGCTGCCATAGGAGCAGGAACAGCTGAGACTGGCAAGGCATCAGAGGTAGAAGGCAGCTCTCTCCTGAGAGCGGAGGACTCTGTGGAGCCTGGCAAGGGTCCCATGTTGCAAGTAGCACCGGGATTAGAGGCACTGGTGGGTGCTGGAGGGGATCCCATAACTGAAGGGTCATCCCAGTTGGAGGAGGCCACAACAGTGGAGGAGGAGGAGGAGGAGGGCTCAGCAGAAGCACTTTCAAGTGGAAACCCATCTCTAGGCAGCAAAGCAAAGACAGAGAGTGCAATGGAAGAAACACCTGATGGAGGGCTGATGGGAATATCTGCAGAGATAGCCAGAGCAGGGTCAGGAGGTAGAGAGGAGGTCGCAGGTGGAGCAGCCAGTCCAAGCGAGCTGGCAGCCGGGCCGCAGGGATCGCTGGAGCATGCTGAAGAGAGAGGGAAGGAGAGGTCTCCTGGTGGGGGGGTGATGGATGAAGCAGTGCTGCCTGCCCCGGGGCTGTGCGTGAGCGGGGTGGGGGGGTCAGGGGGGGCGGCTGGTGCTGCGGCAGGCGGCCAGGCAGGGCGAGGGGCTCTGCCTGAGGGAGGAGCGGCAGTGGAGCTGGCGCTGGTGGGGCAGGAGGTGGCTGGCGATGGTGGGCTGGGCGATGGGGTGGTGGCACGGGAGGGGGTGGCGGGAGCAATGTTGGGGGG